TTTTTTTAAATAAACAAAAACCCTTTTTTAAGCCTTGTTTTTAATCGACCCCGTTGCCATGGTAACAGCACACACCTTAGCCAAAATGCGATAATAAACTTTTCTGTGGTTAACCTCAACTCTTGCAAAAAACGGGCGCCAAAGCATAAATAGCTTAAAAGTAATGGTGAATTAGGTATAGGCTCTTGAAAACTGTGTTCGGCCACCTTAAATAATGCAACTGACAGTTAAGAGCTCTGACAGGCTTCATGAGATTGCATTGTCAAATTGATACTACTGTCAATTAATTTGTGTCAATTTGGAAGGAATACAAGTATATTAAACTGCACTGAGGAATCTGTTTATATATTCATTAATCTTAACCTCATTAATGTTGTGTTACCAAGTACATGTAACAAGTAGTTGATCGTGATTGTGTTGTTGAACTATCCATTATCACTATTGTGTAATTCACACCAATGTTCAGTGCATAGTGTAGTCTATTCTGTTTTTGACTGTTAAAATCTAACATCACACACTACAGCCTGCAAAAGTGTAAGCAGGGCTGTCACTAAGGGTCGTAGCCTGTAACACCTGTCATGGCTGAGTGCAGTGTACATGTATGCTTGATTTTCCTCTGGTACTATGGGTCAAATTGCCTGTTGTTGATAGAATTCAGCCTCAAAGTAACAAGTTATTTTTTGAGGGTGTGAAGAACAAGGCTACAGGTGACTCAAAACTTAATGAGACCCCTGGTACAATGTAAGTAAAACAATGCATTACAGAGGTAAAGGGAGAACATATTTCTCAGGTTCACCTCATGGTCTACTGAGAAAAGATAACACTAAACCAACGGTAAATCAATCAATAGAAGTATGAGCATCTACACTGTACTACATGTAATTGTATACACTGTACATGTACCTTCCCAGGTTGATGTAAGCCTTCTCCATGGTTGAAATCCAGGCCTGTGATACTTCATGGTCATTTACACTGGGCTGATAATCATACAGGGCCTAAAGAAGAGATTTAATAATCTCTACTTAATAATAGCAATAATAGCAATAATTCAAAATAAAATCAAACCTGTACAGTGCAAGTTAGAAGACCAGTAGGTTGCAAATCCCTGGGATTAAAAGAGCCTCACAGTACAAGGGCTAATACTCTA